CCCCAAAACCCCAAAACCCCAAAACCCCTCTTTATAAAATTTGGTAAATTCAGGAATTTATGAAATTAAGATTATCATTCAATTAGGCCTTTTATCATTAATTATTCTATGTATCATTAGGAGTGATGTGGATTATTAATTTACTGACCACTTTTTTCAATTTATTATCCTTCATTGTAATGACTCTGATGCCTTTCCTTAGACATTCTATGTTGACTGCGTTCCAGCAAAGTAGAGTATCCCCAGTCTCATCCATATCATACACTTTAAATATCAAAAAGTTCAACTCTCCATCAATGTACTTGAACTTGAACTCCTTGCTCCATATCGGATTAAACCCATTGTTCTTAATAAATTTGGTCTTGACCATTTCTTGATTTTTAATGTTATCTTTAAAACTAGTAGTCTTAAGCTCTATTGTAACGAAAGGATCAACTATGTCTTTTCTCTCACCTTTCTTGGGTAGCTAGAAGCCACTAAGCAAATTGATTTTTATAGTTTTTGTTGGTAGATTCGACTCAGGTAACAGTCCTCTCAAAAAGGGTGGCTTTAAAATATAGCCACAATATTTACCTCCGTTTTACTCAAAATAACAATTGTTGATCAGCTGATGCTCATCCTTGGTTTGAAGGTTTAGAGCTACTATCTAAGCACCCACAGCCCATCCTTCAAGAGGAGAGTAGTTTGATGAATCAAATCTCACACCTTTAGGATACACTCTAGTGAAATTTGAAAAATGATGATCTTGCCAATATTCTCTACCATACATTACCATCCCTTTATGAATCTTGTTTTCATCTAAGCTCTTAATTTCCCAAGGATAGCAGGGATGTCCTTTTTTAAAGTGAAAACCAATCATAGAGGTCAGTGCAGCCAGTTTATTTTCTGCTTCAGCCGATTGTTTTTGATTCATTTTTTACTTCAGCTTTTTCAAGTCCTTCTCAGAAAATTCTGGCAAAGCTTCGTCTATCTTTTAATAGTATTCCTCCATCTCTCCCTCATTCTCTTCATCAGAGTTTTAATCTATAATACTGCTTTTACTTATGTTATGTCTTTTTGGCTCTCGAATTTATTTGACCTGTGCTGAGTAAATTTATTTTGATAGAAAAGGTACATCAAAGTCAGGGATAGAATTTTGAGTTTATTTATCTTCGTCTGTGAGTAATCTTGTCTTGCCTCTCTAATAGTTGATATTGCCAATAAGATCTTTCTCTTAGAATTCAACCTGAGGGAGTATTCTCTTTGCTTTACATTTTATCACATACTTCCTCTTTAATTCTTCCGGAGATGGATACCTTGGGATATCTTCTGCCTGAGTAATTGATGTAATGTAATTAGGCAATTTGTATATATTGAGTTCTCCTAACACATCTATCATGTGATTAGCAATCACTTCTTACTATTTTTAACTGCAATGCATTTCGAGAGATATGATTACTGGATACTAACTATATTGGAAAGCGCATTCCTCGACAGCTTCTATTACACTTCTGAATGTTATAGCAGAGGTAAGTGTGTAGCCGTGAGTAACTTTAGGTTCATTATTAGGCCCATCCCAGCAATCAATCTCAATACACCTGCATCCGTTTAATAAACTCTCTTTATACATCTCAATTGAGGATTCACCTTTTAATTAATGCCCAGTAAGGTAAGTATTATGCGAAGAGTAGCAATAGTACTGAGAGAGTGGCTAAGTCATATCTTGATATATTTCCTTTTTCTTCGGGTCGAAGCAATCATTAAATTCTTCAGTGAGTAAAAACTGAGAGAAACTCATAAAGTCTAAACCTCTTGAGACCATTGCCTTCTCACTTCCGGGTTTTTCTTTTTTTTGAGCAGCTTCAAGTATTTTATCCTCATTGATAACATCTTTTATGATTTTATCGCACTCATCATATGGGATGCTTTAACCCTAGCACTCTAGTAAAAACTCATAAAGTTCTTTAGTGTGCATAATTGGTTAAGTTTAGTTCATATATGTTTTGAACACTGGTAATAATTCCTTTCTGAAATGTATATCATCCATCATTGTGTAAAATTCCTCGAATTCGAGAGCACAACTCCTGTCTTTATCATATTTCTAAACAAACTAAAAGAGATAATCTTCTTTCACAGAGATATTGAGCTTATTTAAGAGTAGCTTTATCTCATTCAGGTCCAGTCGCTTATTCATATCAAGGTCTACTTCAGCCCATATGTTTTGATAATATTAAAGTCTAGCTGAAACTAGGGATTTCGGGTTTGAGTAGCAGTCATTTATGAATAATTAAATCCCAGTAAGCCAAAATTTGAAAGTATCTCCATCAAGAGCTACTAAATCAAGGACCTTCCCCTGATCAAACACAATACTTATACATAGATGTTCTTTTTTCTCAAGCCTCTTTTTGTGCTTTTATAGTTTTTTAGAGTAAAAGCAAGCAAAGTAAATTCTTTCGATATCTCTTAGTTTTACTCTTGATTTATTGTAGGTTTTCTTAGGCGAGACCCATTGAAGAATTTCTTTGTTATCCTAATGTATAAAGAATTGCCTTCTATGGGGTCCTCCTATGCTAGGAACTCTTTTCATTAATGTCTTGGCAGATTCCTCAAAGATTTTCCTGGATGTTTCAAGTCCCACATTTTTAAAGGACGGTGCTTGCTGCGGAAACCAAGCATGTTAATCCATTGTAGTTATCTGAATTGTAAATATTTTATTAAAAGTTTGATTCTTTTGAAATTGAAAATCATTTAACTAAGGGGTTTTGGGGTTTTGGGGTTTTGGGG